GAGGCTTTTTGGATCAATGCCAAAAGCCCTACAATGAATAGCAGGGACGAATGCCCGGAGATCATACGCGACCTGATCTCGTACGTTCGCATCGATTTTTGATGTGGGATGGTGCAGTCGTCAACCACATGCGACTATAATCAGCTGTTCTAAACTTCCTCATTGGAAGTCACGAAAAAGCGGTGGGTTTTTCGAGAAGTTGTTGATTATGTAATTGCCAGAGAGTTCTTCGTCTTCTTGTAAGTGTTATTGAAGCGTTTGGCCTAGTAGATTGCATATCAGCATACCCTTCCAGGCTCTGAAGAAGGCGATACTGCCGAAACGTCAGCTAGCGTTGTATTGTATTGTGTTTTTATGGAAGTAAATGTATGCTGTTTAAAAACCTCGCGATTGCTGAACAAGAAAACGACTTTAACCCTTCTTTTCCACCGAATAATAAAAAGATTCTAATATAAAATACGTCCAGTCTCTGAGGAAGGCGAAGTCGCCGAAACGTCAGCCATCGATCAATAACATCAAAAACAACGACAACGAAGATCTGTACCAGACTCGCGTCGCCTTAAGAACATCAGTTTGTAAGATCACATAAATAAATATATCAACTATCTATGCCGAGGTCTGTACCAGACTCGCGTCGCCTTAAGAACATCAGTTTGTAAGATCACATAAATAAATATATCAAATATCTATGCCGAGGTCTGTACCAGACTCGCGTCGTCTTAAGAACATCAGTTTGTAAGATCACATAAATAAATATATCAACTATCTATGCCGAGGTTTATAGAAAGTCGGTCTTTCGAGTTATTAAGTTCTGAAGTAGACTTTGGATAGGCCGACCTCGGGATTAAAGGGAGCCACAATGGTTAAACGGGAAAACTCCCGAATGTGGAAATTGAACTGGAGCCCGGATAAACAATGAAGACGAGCCATCCAAGTACCCAAGTAAGTATTGCTGCATTATTTTTAAATACATAACGGCAAAAGACACACCTTTATGCACTGTTCGTCGCAATGCGGTTGGCACTGTGGAAAACACTGAAGTGTTTGAGGAGTTGACTGAATGAGGAGATTAAGTGCAGTTGAAAAATATTTTGTGAAAAAAGAGGAAAATGTAGAAGCAATTAACCTTGCCTCATTTAGGCTACTGAAAGTGAACAGAAAGCGAAGCTTTTACGAATTCAGTTCAATAAATATGCTTAGTATATATGCATGAAATATTAAGCAATTTAAGCGCTAATCAAGCATATCCTCCCAACGGTTTACCGCTTCATCGTGGCTAGGAGGTGTTCCTAGGTCTCAGACTGCGATCTACAGCGAGGGATTCATCCGCTGGTAGGGTCTCGCAAGCTGAGAGGGAGTCCGGCGTTTCCATGAGGAAACCTTGCTAAGAGTAAACCAGTACCAGGATCCACCACCGTCCTGGTATCAAAGTCTCATGGTGGTAAGTCTCCCTCTGATCCACAAGAGCTGCGACTGCCTGTGGTGGTGAAGACTGTTCTTCAATTTTCTTAAAATGTTCAAATATTGTATTATTATATATTATGTACTATATTATATACATATATGTTGTTCGAAAGTTTACGTTCAATCAGAAATCGTATAATCGTAAAAGAGACCTGGTTAACTCTACCTGTGCGACATTGTGACGCAGGATACACGGCGGTTCACATGTTGGACGACACGCTTCGATACACTGAATTTTGTTTTTGGTTACAGTGGTGTTAAAACTAGCATGTTGCTGAATACACGAAGTTTCGCAACTTGGCAGACAAGCGGAAACACATTTTGATGCGAGTGATGGTGCAGTGAGTGATGTCTCTTGAATGCAGCTTGGTAGACAAGTCGGTTGACAAGCGTAAACGCACTGAACGTAAGGTAGTGACGGTGCTGGTGTTGCGACTGGTGATGTAGCGACTGATAATGGTCTCGGAGCTGGAGCTACCTGAGATGAAAGACATTCTGGAGTGCACTGCGGCATACAAGCTTGAGTACATCGCTGGTTCTGAGGAATGGCAGCATCGATCATTTTGTAAATGTTTTTAATGCAGGATGGTTTACAAGACGGCTGACACGCAGGTAAGCAGATGTAAGAAGCATGAAGAGGTGCTGGCGAACTTCGAACGAGTGTCTGAATTTGGATACACAGGAAATCGCAAGCTGGCATACATGCTGGAACACACTGATTTGGAATAAGCGTCGACAATGCACGAATTGATACTACCGGTGGCAAAGCAATCGGGGCAGGAGGTGTCATTGTGGCCCTAATGCAGCTTGGATCGCACGCCGGTTGGCAAGCAGAAATACACTTTTGTCGCAAGATTTGGGCTTTGATACAGGATTCTAAGCATTGTGGTTGACAGGCAGGAATACAGTGTTGCTGCGTTAGAGCAGAAACTGGTGTAGTCGTTTTCGAGGCGACAATACAGCTCTCTAAACAGGCCGGTCTACACGTTGGAATACATTGCGTCTGTATACAAGAACTTTCACATGTTGGTTGACAGGCAACAGGACATGAGATGAAGTTGATGTTGATTTCTAGTGGTAGAATAGTTGAGGTACTGGTAGTGGCACTACTTCTAGTAGTTGTGAACAAGTCTACTGTTTGAGCATGTGAAGCAGGAAACGTTGGGGTGAAAAGTGAAGGTGCAAGAGTTGGAGAGTTTATGCAAGAGGGAAGGCAAGCTGGCATACATGGATCAATGCATACAAGAAGTGTGGCTCCTTCGAGCCTCGTCTTCGTGGGCGAACTATCATATAGGCAGCGCTTTCGGCATGCCACATTGCATGTGACCAAGCACAGAGGTCGTTGTTCAGATGTGCAAGATTGTTGGCAGGCGGTGTTACAACGCTGAACGCATGGATTTGGTGCAGGTTGAGATAAATCTACCTGAGTTGGCGTTCGGGTAAGGCATGACATACCGCACTGCTGCTGGCAAAATTTTGCGCAATCAGCTGCTGGATTTCCTTGCGATATGCACTGCGCGTGGCAGGTTTGACCACATTTTTGATCGCAGTTAGACTCATAAAACGGATCATTCAGGTCGATGTCGAATTGAATAGGATGGCCTGATGATAAAGAAGCTTGTGGTGAGCTTTGACAACCGAATCGACAAGCGCTGGTGCATGTCTTTTCGCAAAGAGACGGCTGTAACGACCTTGCGACGCAAGCATCCACGCAGACATTCTTGCATTTCTGCTCACATTGGTGCCACATTTTTGTAGTGGCAGCGGTCACCTGCAAAGAGGTTCTATCTCTCTCTCTAACAAAATTTCGTTTGCTTTCAAAATTATAAATATATCTAGTTCCCAGGATAGACTTTCTATTAACCTCGGCATTGGAATATGAATGTGTCGTTTTCTTGTTCAGCAATCGCGAGGTTTTTAAACAGCATACATTTGCTTCCATAAAAACACAATACAATACAACGCTAGCTGACGTTTCGGCAGTATCGCCTTCTTCAGAGCCTGGAAGGGTATACTGATATACAATCTACTAGGCCAAACGCTTTAATAACACTTACAAAAAGATGAAAAACTCTATGGCAATTACATGATCAACAGCTTCTCGAAAAACTCACCGCTTTTTACGTGACTTCCAATGAGGAAGTTTAGAACAGCTGATTATAGTCGCATGTGGTTGACGACTGCACCATCCCACATCAAAAATCGATGCGAACGTACGGGATCAGGTCGCGTATGATCTCCGGGCATTCGTCCCTGCTATTCATTGTAGGGTTTTTGGCATTGATCCAAAAAGCCTCTAGGAGTTTTCGCGCTGGTGTTTTGGACTCCTGTGCAAGGATATTGACTTTCACTTCAAAATCGTCTCCGCTATGCTTTTGTATCCTATGCGTGCCTAGTGGGGTGCTTCGTCTTAGTTTTCGTTTGCCATCTAGGTGTTCTTTTATACGGATACANTTCTCGAAAAACTCACCGCTTTTTACGTGACTTCCAATGAGGAAGTTTAGAACAGCTGATTATAGTCGCATGTGGTTGACGACTGCACCATCCCACATCAAAAATCGATGCGAACGTACGGGATCAGGTCGCGTATGACCTCCGGGCATTCGTCCCTGCTATTCATTGTAGGGTTTTTGGCATTGATCCAAAAAGCCTCTAGGAGTTTTCGCGCTGGTGTTTTGGACTCCTGTGCAAGGATATTGACTTTCACTTCAAAATCGTCTCCGCTATGCTTTTGTATCCTATGCGTGCCTAGTGGGGTACTTTCGTTTGCCATCCAGGTGTTCTTTTATACGGATACACAAAGGTCTGCCCGTTTCGCCAATATATTCATCTCCGCAATTGTTACACGAGATCAGGTATATCGTACCTGAACTCATGCAATCACCGTCCCTGCCGTAAGGGCAAATTACGCAATTTGTTGTTTCACACAGACGGTCATACAGGCGGTTGCGAACTAATTGGCGACGTAGAGTAGTCGGTGGTATTTCAACTATCGCTACCGATTCCTCTAGACCTGCCCTTCTTAAGCATCGTTTTATAGCTGCGCTTGCTTCATCGCTTATAAAAGGCAACATAAACGGGATTTTGTTTTGGCCAAGTGTTTCGCGTGGGCGCGTCGTTCTCCTTGTAAACTTATCTCGTGGGGTTACTATTTCGTAGCCATTGGAGATGGCTATTCGCCGAGCCAAGTCGCGCGATTCTTTCTTTAGTTCCCTGGTAGTGCGCACAAAGGTGGCTGTTCGAAACATGTTTCTCACAATCGTCCTCTTCGTGTGTGAAGGGTGGGAAGAAGGGAAATGAACAAGAATGTTCTGTTTTGTTTGTTGATTGTTTTGTCGTCTTCTCTACGCAGGAGGAGATGGACAAATGCTTTGAATTATTGAACGAGCAGTCCGAGTACATAAAGTTCACTTGGGAGAAACTGAGAAAAAACTGGCTTCCGTTTTTGGACGTTCAAATAAGCCTATCAAGTAGCGGTTACCTGACAAAATGGTATCGAAAGCCAAGTAACAAGAACATTCTTGATCATTTCCTTTCTTCCCACCCTTCACACACAAAGAGGGCGATTGTGAGAAACATGTTTCGAACAGCCATCTCTGTGTGTGAAGGGTGGGAACTAAAGGAAGAATCACGCGGCTTGGCTCGGCGAATAGCCATCTCCAACGGCTACGAAATAGTAACCCCACGAGATAAGTTTACAAGGAGAACGACGCGCCCACGCGAAACACTTGGCCAAAAAAAAATCCCGTTTATGTTGCCTTTTATAAGCGACGAAGTAAGCGTAGCTATAAAACGATGCTTAAGAAGGGCAGGTCTAGAGGAATCGGTAGCGATAGTTGAAATACCACCGGCTACTCTACGTCGCCGTGTGAAACAAAAAATTGCGTAATTTGCCCTTACGGCAGGGTCGGTGATTGCATCGGTTCAGGCACGATATACCTGATCTCGTGTAACGATTGCGGAGATGAATATATTGGCGAAACGGGCAGACCTTTGTGTATCCGTATAAAAGAACACCTAGATGGCAAACGAAAACTAAGACGAAGCACCCCACTAGGCACGCCCAGGATACAAATGCATAGCGGAGACAATTTTGAAGTAAAAGTCCATATCCTTGCTCAGGAGTCCAAAACACCAGAGCGAAAACTCCTAGAGGCTTTTTGGATAAATGCCAAAAACCCTACAATGAATAGCAGGGACGAATGCCCGGAGGTCATACGCGACCTGCTCCCGTATGTTCGCATCGATTTTTGATGTGGGATGGTGCAGTCGTCAACCACATGCGACTATAATCAGCTGCTCTAAACTTCCTCATTGGAAGTCACGAAAAAGCGGTGGGTTTTTTCGAGAAGTTGTTGATCATGTAAATACCAAAGAGTTTTTCGTCTTTTTGTAAGTGTTATTGAAGCGTTTGGCCTAGTAGATTGTATATCAGTATACCCTTCCAGGCTCTGAGGAAGGCGATACTGCCGAAACGTCAGCTAGCGTTGTATTATATGGTGTTTCTCTATGGAAGTAAATGTATGCTGTTTAAAAACCACGCGATTGCTGAACAAGAAAACGACACATTAATATATGAAGTTATAAAAATGTGATAATGGAGTGTCAGATTTTTAAGCACGATCATTTCCCTAAGTTGCAGTTCATTAAGATACCTGTTGCTGCACAACATGATTGGCAGCTAGTTGGCAAGTTCCGATGCAGATGTCGTCGCATTTCTGCGAGCAGTCGAAACGATTTCCAGTTTTCTCGGTGCAAGACGGTAAGCACGCACGCGAACAGGTCATTGCACAATCCGATCTCTAAAAAACTACTCAATCCATGACAATTAAGACATCTTCAACACTTTAATAATCAGAATGAATTGCATGTTTAACCAAATCATAGCAAGGACGTCGTTCGAATAACCAGTTACAATACATGGGCTCACAAGTAAATCACAAGCGAGGGAGAGATCTCGGTCACGCTACGTGCTATGTCTTTATTACGATGTATTTCCTTGCTAATTTCACTACACTGACGAAAAACAACTATTTTCAAAGGTATCTTTTCCACCCCACGGATCTCCCTTATATGAGGGATCTCGAGCCGGTTAGTCGCGAGGCTACGTGGCGCGTCCCCAGGTGGCGGATAGAGGGTTAATCGCGGACCAGAAGCGACCATTGCTTCCCGGAGACGCAGGTGGATCCAGGCGATGGACTCCCTGTTTCTGGTGCGCTGATTTGGCACATACTTTCCGTATTTGCTAGGCGAATTCATGCATGCGTTTGTGGGTGCGTTCTTGCTTATGCGGCTTGTATTCTACGAGTCAATTCGGCCAAAAGCCTGCAATCAAGTGACAGTGAAGTATATGGGAGGCGCTTAAGAGTCACCTCGAACAAATAAGCTCCATGTCCTCTCTGGGAGAACTTGGCAAGCTATCCGTGAGTATACCCAGCTCCCGCCGTCAGAGCACAGCAAGATATGCGTGGGTATCAAAATGCTAAACACAGTAAAAAAAAACGAGCCTCATTTCCCTGACCCCGAAAGAGCCCCAAATTTCGCAGCGTTGGGCAGGACGAGTACGGAGAGGCTGCTAAAATCTCAGAGACAACGGAAGTTGCCTGGATTACAAAGAACTATGCTCGATAGAAGACTTGCTCATGCAAGCAGGAAGGATAAAGTACGACGTCATCGACCTGGCCGAGACGAGGAGACGCCAGCTTTCCAACGCCGTCTATGACACCGAAAAAGAACTATTTCTCGGAACATGCGACAGTAGAGGAGTCGGCGGCGTCGGCGTTCTCGTCAACACGAGTTTGTCCATGAACATTGATTCATTCTAACAACTTACAACCCGAATCGGACGTTCACGATTAAGAAGACGTGGATCAATTTCGGCTTTGACAATCTTCGTCGTTTACACCCCGACGTCAAACTATGACGAAGAAGAAGTCGAAGAGGTCTATATGGACTTGGAGAAGTTCTACAGAGAAGACCGCACATT